CTATCTACCCCCTCTGCGACCACCTCTCGGTAGCCTTCACGTCAATGTTCTGGGATGACCCCGACGACGGTTGGTATCGACAAGAACTGTAGCCCCCTTCGGAGATCGCGTCAGCTTCCGTAGGCATCGAGAGCACCGCCGTGCCTTCCCGATTCTTGTGCGAACGCAGCGAGAGCCGAGCGATCACCGTCCTCTAGACGATCGACTTTAGTTCATTCGAGAGCCCGTACGACCTCATCGCATTCCAGGATGCTCTCTCGTTCTCTCTTTCGCTGATCGCGTGCTGGCCTCGGATCCGTTCATCGAGTAGATGTGTCAGTTCCGTTGGTCTCAAGATTGTGGTTCCATACCGATGTCTCGGGCCGAGTGGAGCGGCGTTGGGGTGACGTTGGGACCAGAGGACCTCCCTCAAGGGGGGAGGGCAAAACGACGACGAACGGGGGCATCGATTCCACGGGTCGAAACCATAGCATACCTCATCACATCAATTGGCTGCGCACCATGCCTTTATCGCTACGATCCCCCCCTCCCCTACCACGACTCGATTGTACGACCCCCCCCAAAGGGCAGCACGAAACTTGGATGGCTCCATGGCAACGTGGGTAGCATCATCTGCACAGAGCACGTAAGGCACGGTCCCTTGGCACAGCGTCCATCTAAAGATAGACGTTGGATGCGTCGCGCGTTGCATGTTCTCAAGATATGCGACACCTGGTCGTCCCACGCGATTTTGCGGTAAGCTTTTGATCCGAAACAAGGTCGTCCAGGCTCCAATGGCACCAGAAAGAGCGACGGGGGAAGGCAAGATGACGTCGAGTGGTCTTGGCAACAAGTGGCGTGGGGGAGGGACTGTGTCGAGGGAAGCGCGTATCGTAGAAATACCAGCGAGGACCACGAAACAGTCGTCGTCCTTCGTTAGCACATGAACGTACACCACTGGGATGATTCGACCACAAGTCAGGGACTTCATGGCGATGGGATGCACTCCAGGCCGTGGTATCGCGCAAAGGATGCACACTCGACGGCTTTTCACAACAGCCGTTTGTGTCACGGCATTGCACCCATCCACCGTGCGCCGCCGTGCCTGGAGCATATTCCACAACACATTGCGAACAACATGCAGTTGGGCTCAATGCAGCACACGTGTTTGATTCGCGATCGCTTGGGTTGGCGTCGAAGCGGCTGCAGGGAGTGCGACGTTCCTCGTTGAGCTCACAAGGGTCTGCAAGAGCCTGTCTCGCGCATGGCATCTCCATCGTCTTTGCCAAGCGGGTGCAGCCGTGGACGCGGCACGAACGCGGACGGTAGAGTCGTCGCTGAGTTGACCTGGCCGATCGAAACCTCACACATGACGTGAACGGTTGGTTGCATGAGCCAGGACAATCTCGAGTAACTGGCCCATTCCTGTTGAGGTTCGTCATGTCGCTGAGGCTGCCTACGCAAACTTGCAAAACGACGGACCCCATCGCGAGGACGGGATGCCATGGCATCGCGTAGGTTTTCACTGCTTCCACGAATGGACTTTGCGATGTCGAAGCATCGATCGCCGCCGCGCTGCCATGTCCCGTGCGGCTTCGGAACGAAACCAACTGGTCGCGACAATAATGTCGTCCCGCTCCAGGGTCGTCAGAAGTCACTGCCGTTTGAACGAGACGAAGAAGATTCGCACGGGCTATCACTCGGTGGGGCTCAGTGGCGTGCCTCTGCGCTGTAGTGGAGTTGGCCTAACGAGCAAATTCAAGTTGCCTCGTGCGGCGCGAGCAACCACGTCAAGTCCGTGTGGTTGTCGGCGAGGGGGGGCCCGTGGTGAAACGAACGCGGAACCAAACGAAGCCGCCGAGGAATTCGAAGCACTCTGTGCTCACCGAGTCCCTAGGTGAGAGCATGTTATGCCTTCTTATGGGCTTTCTTGCGATGTGCCACATTCAACCTGCCAGCGAGCGCCGTTGGTACCAAGGTTGAATCGGACTGCTGCTGCCCATGCAATTTTACGTGCCACGGCGCATGGCGGGAATGGCATTTCGTTTGGCGTGCGGCACTTGGGGATAAACATGCTTGGCAAGGTGGCTCTGCCACCTCCTATGGTGGCTACGGGGCAATCGACGCAATGAAAACCAAATAGCCGAAACCAAAACAAACATCCCGTCCATGCGGAGTTTCCTGTCGCGACTCTTCGAGTTGGACCACGCGCCCCATGACGACAGACGACGTGATTGCTACCTCGGGCTCGCACGAGAGCACGTCCACTATGGTGCAACGTGACCCTTTCAAGTGGGACCGCATGATCTCGACATCGCTAGTCGACGCGGCATGGCAGTACCATGTGCGCTGCTTGTCTTGCGTACGTGCGTTGGTCTTGAGTTCGATGAACGCGTTGGGGGGCTCGACGCTGCGGTGGAGCTGCGCAGTAGACTCGATCACTTTGCATTCGAACGTGTTGTCGCGCCTTTGGCTGCCTGCATTGGTTTTCGTGGCTACAGTAGACTCTCTACTGGGATATCCAAGAGCGGCGCTGAGAGACCAACGTGCAACGAACGAGGCCGTCCCGACGAAGAGCATCTCGTCGCACGATCAAGGTTTTGACGTCTCCATTTGCAGACAAAGAGATCGCGCATGCCACCGTGCCGTCGACGTTTGTGCAGCTGGTCGTCCAAGATTCCACGAGCAATGGCGCGTAGCGAATTCAACGAGTCTTGGCCATGATGTGCCACACGAGTGCCCTACCGCTGCAACTTGTCTCCACGCGCGACTTGTACATTTGTGGCTGCATGAGCGGCGTGTCCCTCTGGGCTTCCAAGCTGCTGGGAGGCTAACTCGTGAGCTTCGACAGCGACTCCTCCTCGTTAAACCCCAAAGCTCAGAGCGCACATTGAGCTCCGATGTACTGCGATGGATATATGCATTCATGGTATTGGAACACGACGAGCTGGCGACAAGCATTGCATTATGGCAATCAAATGTCGGCGGGGCCACCAAACGGATCGACCTTTTGCTCGGGCGTGACGTAGGCCGCCGTGATGCCACCGTCGACAAGAAACTTGGTGCCTGTGATATACGACGCGTCATCGCTCGCTAGGAACAGCGCTGCTTTCGCCATTTCAGCAGCTTCCCCGAATCGTCCCATGGGAACGTGCACAAGGCGTCGCTGCTTCTTCTCGTCCGTATCGAGAAACTTCTGCAGCAGCTCCGTGTTGAGGGGACCAGGACACAGGGCGTTCACTCGGATGTTTTCACGTGCGTGAATCACGGCGAGCTCCCGCGTGAGCGCAATCACAGCACCTTTGCTTGCAGTGTACGCTAGTTGAGGCGTTGCAGCCCCAAGGACACCCACAAACGATGCCGTGTTGACAATCGATCCCCCACCCGACCGGCGAAGTGCAGGAATTGCGTGCTTGCACCCAAAGAACACGCCCTTGACGTTCACCGCCATGCTGCAACGAGACATGAGGGACAGATCCTTGGCAAGGAGCAGCAAACGTACGTGAGATCCCACACTTCCTCGGAGGTCGCGACTGCGTCGTCGTCGTTGCTGTGCATGAGTCCTGCGTTGTTGAACAAGACGTGGAGGCCACCGAACGTCTTTTCTGCCAGATCAATCATGGTCTTGGACTGCTCGCTCTTGGACACGTCGGCTCCGATCGCAATCGCCACGTTCTTCTTGCCCACAAGTTCCGTGACAAGTCGTGCGGTTTCCTTGGCGGCGTCCAAATTCAAATCGGCGCACACGACGCCCTTGGCACCTTCCTTGGCAAAAAGGAGCGCACTCTTACGACCAATGCCACCGCCGGCGCCCGTCACCACCGCAATCTTGTTCGCAAGCCGGCCAGCCATCGCGATCGTTTTCAAATGAACCAAAGATCGCACGAGTCGCAACAGAGAACACATGCTAAAGTATTTAACGCCCTTTTTCTTCAACAAGTCAAATGGCATATAACTCGATTTAACGCGTCGGACCCCTATACTGAAACTAGTATGTCGACAGGTTCAACTTGTTTTCACAAGTAAGTTAACAGTACTGAAAACGTCGTTTAATATCGGCAAAATTCCCCAAATATTATGCCAACGATATTTGCAGTCGTCGATATTTTTGATTTCGACCAGTTTTTGAATATATATATATATAATCAAAAACTGGTCGAAATCAAAAATATCGACGACAGCAACGTAAAAAGACGAGAGCAGCAGACATGGCATTAACAAGCAACGGGAGTCTACTTCGGCAGTCGGCTTCGGCAACGAGCTCGCAAGCAATGGTCACGGTAGCTTAAAGTTCCACTACACGTCACAGAGTCAATCCTTCATGTGCACAATGCAGATGTGCAGACCCCTTTCAACTGGGTAAAGGCGGCAAACCCGTGCTCCGACAACGAATGGCCCTTTCCCGTGTCTTTCACGCCCGTCCACGGCAAATATGCATCCACGGCATCGCATCGATTCTACCACGGTGGCGACCTCGAACAACCAAAGTCGTCGGGATCGAATCAACATACCATATAGATCGTGCCCGCTTCCAACTGCTTCCCCAATCGCTTGGCACGATCCTACCGCCGCACTCATTGAGTCGCCATGCCTCGTTGAAAATTTTTTAACGACGAGATATTTGCGCCATGCACGCACCATATCTTTGGTAAAAATGCCCGCGGTGAGCCCGTACGAGCTATCGTTCATGAGCTTGACTGCTTCTTCATCGGAATCCACGGCCATGACACCTTGCACCAGAAAGAGTCGCTGTCAGCAGTGGTTTCGATCATGTTCCAACCTAATATCGGGCCAAACGACTCGTCCTTCATGATGGCCATGTCGTGCGTGCAGTCTCGCACGAGAGTTGGAGGGAAGAAGCGGCCGTGGCCGGTGGCATCTCTGGTTTCCGCGGGATTTCTTGATCGGGTAACCACCTTGGCGCCTTTCGCGACCGCATCGGCCACGTGATGGGCGAGTGCGTCGCCCGCCGAAGCTAGGGCCATGGGCCCCAGCGTCGTGCCTTCCTCCAATGGATTGCCCAGCTGCAACTTAAAGTTAGTGCGCAGTACGAGCGGGGCACGTGCACACCTTGTACGCATTGAAATGAGGAACGGCGGCATCAAGAAACGATTCGTATTGCGACCGGTGGACGTAGACGCGTTCAACACCACAACACGACTGTCCAGCATTGTAGCACGCGCCGTCAACGAGCCCCGACGCCGCGGTCTCAATGTCGGCGTCGGGGGCGACGTACATCGCATCCTTGCCGCCAAGTTCGAGTGTGCTGTTGATAAATCGACTGGCCCCGATTGCAGCGTGCACTTGAGCTCCTCTACACAGACGATAAGCACTGTTGGACTCATGGCAAATTGATCGACAGGCATACCCGCGGACTGAACCCGTAAATGAGACGTAGTTGACGAGGGGGTTGGCTATGACCGCCGCGGCAGACGCATGCGAGCAATGCACCGAACGAAGAAGGTCGCGAGGGACTCCGGCTTCATGCAGGGTCCTTTCATAGTGGTCTCCGCACAGAGGAGTCTGTGGAGAGTGTTTAAGCAGTACACCGTTTCCTACATCGTAATGTCCTTTGAGATGGAAGGTATGAAGAGAAAGGACTGACCTGCTAGGAGTGCAGGGACCACCGAGTTGACGACTGTCATCATCGGGTAGTTCCATGGTGCAATGACAAACACAACCCCGATGGGCTCCTTGGATATCTCACGGAAGAGACCGGGGTCTTTTGAAGTGGGGAACGACGTTGTTGGCGCTAACGCCCTGTCCGCCAACCCAATCATAATCCTAACGGGAGTATTGAGCAAGGCATATCGACCATTTCGAGACGTGACGGTAGATTGTTCGTACTTGGCGCGCTGAATTGTGCCTTTCACTTCTCCCACGGCTTGACTCAGGGGCTTTCCCATTTGTCGCGAAATATCCGTCGCAATCGTGTCGATGTTCGCATTGAGCACGTCTGTCCACTTGGTACATATCGCCTTGCGCTCGTCCAGAGACACACTTGCCCATTCCCGTTGGGCCTTTTTCACACGAACAAGAATGTCCGCGGATTCCTTGCTCGAATGCTGCGCCACCTCGAATTCTGTCTTCAACGTGTACGGATTCTGCACGGCAAAGCTACGAAACGTGCATGAGGAACACTGTCATGGAAAAGACGCAAGAGTACGACGAGAATGCGCGGTTGGCGACATGGCGACGCAGCGAAGACACGTTCTTGGCCTAATTGCACGAGTTAGCAGCACATGTGGAGGGGATGGATGGCGGTCGACCTTGAGGAATCCGAGCATCGAAGATTGCAAAATGGCGTTTCGCCCAAAAATTCGCTCTTTTCTCGATAAATTCGCCCTGCCGAACTCGATACTAAAAATCAGTATTGGCAAATATTTTTCGTCGACAATTCCCTCCAAATAGCCCATTTTTTTTATCAATTTTCGTGATGTTAACACAACAATTCATGCGAAATTGCCCAATATCACGCCGTTTCGAACAAGATCTCGACACTTGCCTCGAGTATCGGAGAAGGGATCAAGTCGACCGGTCCATGCCAGCGACAACGCTGCTGCAACTCTGGTCGCCACACACGGAGCATGCCTTGCACAGCAGGCTGTAACCCCCCACGGCACCCGCACCAGGTGCTGCTACTTGCACGCTTGTGACTGCCGCCTTGGTGCCAGCAGCGTTCGGCAACAAGCCGCGCCTGTGACGTCGCGACATGCGTCGGCACAATCATGCATCACAGCACACCGCGTGATTCTACCAGCTCAGTAAGATGGCCGCTGTCGCCTGGAGTGGCAACGCGTCACCATATGCCGTCCAATCTGACACTCGCGCGCAATTCCTCCATTCCAGGCACTCGGTGATTTGAACACTCAGCGCATCGTAGTAGTCCGGCGCGTTCGTCGAGCAACTTGACCATCGTACTCTGGTGTCGTTTGTGCCAATCTTGTTTAAGGACGAGCTCTTCAAAGCCGAACGAGGGGCTCTTCATGGCCCCAGTTCACGCATGTCGAATGGTTGCAAGCCGAAGTGGCTCCAGTCCGTCCTCTTTGGATCCATTATGCCACTCCCTGAGGTGTCTGGTCCGGTGAATTGTCCACTACAATTCTCGGTGTGGTTCATAGGAATATGGGTGCTCGGCCCCAAGGACCTCGCTTTGGATCGAGACACCCACCGACGCGACAGCATTTCACTCGTCTTTGGCCACACACCAAGTGCGCCAGACACACTGTCTCTCAAGTTGGGACAGAATCGTACCGTGCCTTTGCCCGTGGGGAGACTTGGACGGGGCGATCAACTGGAATTGAACGCAGTCAGTGCTGTATGGCGTGTTGCTTGGCGCGGTAATTACCGCCGACGGGTGGTGGGGATGGGTTTTATGAACCCGAATCGCGCCACCGTCAACTCTTCGTGCAAAGTGAGGTTGTCTACCAAAGCGGGGAGTTAAACATAATTCAGCGTAGGGTCGTGCAGTTCACTGCTCAATGATGACCGACGTTCGAGGGCGTAAGATGTGAAGCTTGACGTCGCCAAAGTAGAATGCAATGCACATTGATCTGTGTGCACACTAGAAGCTACAACACGTGTGTTGCGACGATCGATGGTGTCGGTCGTATGTGAGTAGGTGGGGAGGTGTTCTTGCGACAGGCTTTGAATCACATTGTAGGTCGAGAACCGTCTTGTGAGAAGAATGGTTCCCACCACGATTGTTCTCCTGAGTGCGTGGTAGTAGACCAGCCCCCGTAGCGGACTCACAAAGTGGGAGCTCGAGACGGTCCAGGGGACCCACGAGCAGTTCAAACTACGAGTGGTCCCTTAAACTCAAAGCACACGGCGTCTGCCGCTCGAAACTGAATTAATGGCACGACGATGGGATGACTGGGTCAATAGCATCTCGTTTGTCCTGCTCGCGGTCGTGGCGGCGATTAACGGGGACGTGAGGCGTCCGCCGCTCGCGACTTGAAACCTCTCGTGCCGGCGATTCAGTAACGCTGCCAGATAATTTGCAATATTGTCATCATGCATCCAGATAAGTCACTCAAGGATAACGAGGCTGAGTTGGGACGACGTTTCGGCCATCGCGCGAGACCACAAAGTCTCGGAGAAACGTCATGGTGCAAGTTGATCCAGACCGAACCAGCTATTTTTACCCGAGTATTCTCAAGACCGTCCACCAACTTACAATATTTCTAAAAACGGCAGATCGACCGAGGCAGCGTCAGTGACGTTCGGCCTTCTTGAGTGATCGCCACACAATCTACCTTGGCAAGTGAACAGATCGATCAGTTCTAGTTCAGGTTCCACCATGACAGCTCGTCACTGACTGTAGCGTGCTTGTTGTTCTTCCTTGCGAAGCACTGAGACCTCACGCACACTCGTGTGGCGGCGGCCACTTCCACACCACCCGTGTGTCCAGCTGCAACCGAATGTGCCCCTTCGACCTTGGATCCAAAAACGGCCCTCTCATTGGCTAGTAAAATGCAAATTGGTTGCATGTGATTGGTCCATGTGGATCGAGTCGTCGGTTTCCCGTTCGTTTCACATTAGCAGTTACATAAATTGTAATTTCAACCTGTGGCATTCCCACGTGCAGCAGCGAGCGACACCCCCAACGTCCACGGCGATTAATCCCTTCTCTGTAAGCACCTACCTCACGTCGAGGTGTGTTTGGATTCGCCTTGCTGTGTGAATGGAAAAAGAGTGTGGTCTTGACGAGGTCGTGAAAAGTTTGTCTGGGGACGCAGTCGTTCGGATTTTCCAATTTGGGTCGGCAACGGTCAAGTGGAGATCAACACGTGAGCACCTAGTAAGAAGGAATGGGGACCTCCGAAGTCCGCGTCGCCAAGAACGTCGGAGAACGCGATGACATGGCAATCGCAGGACCAAACGTGCCCACGATCGTGGGCAGTCTCAACCAAGCGCGGGCGATGGACAAGGCGCTGCCGTTTTCGAAAAAGCAGTACGCTGAGTCTTTGTGTGGGTACTTGTACGTGTTTGCGTCGCTCGCGTGCAGCATCTGGTACTGCAGGACGCTACGCCCGAGTCTAGCCAACGACTTTTGGTGGTCGGGCTACAACATGACGGGCTATGAAGCGTTCATCATCGACGTCACCAATGCCAAGCTAAGTTACACACAAAACGGTCCGTTTGACTTGCTTGCGACGGCGTCGGTCGTCGAGAAGAACTACACGCCAAGCGTCTCGACAACACTGGTGTATCCGACGTACCTTCACAACTTGATCTGGCACGAGCTCACAGACATCGAGTACGCGATTGCCAATCTCCGCAACCTGAGCGCATCCTGGAGCATGCGCGTCAACACGCAGTACTGCTGGGTCGACTTTGACAAGAACTTTGAGATGGCGCACACGGTCGAGCGCCAAACGCGGTGCAGCGTTCGCTACGTGGACAACGGGGCAGTGTACTTGGAGGCGTTGCTTCGGAACGTTGTGTGGGCTGATTACATGAAAAACTGGGGCGGCCCAAATTCCCCGTTCGTCGTGGCTGTGCAGCGCGCGCTAGAAGAGCGCGACGTTGGTCGCCAGTGGCTGGACACAACGTCCAAGGCGCGGGACGCTACTTCTGTGGACGACGAGCTCAAGTACTGGCAATCGCACAACGTAACAACGTTCAAGTTGCAGTTTCACACGCGGTGGGAAATCGGATTGACCGAGACGATCGTTGTCAAGAACGCGATGGGGATGTCCCAGAAGGTCACAGTCAAGGACGTCAGTCGCGGGGTCGGTTCGTGGACGACATTCGACTTTTACTGGGGTCCTGTCTCGGACTTTTGGACGATGCAGGCGTTGAATCGAAGCCTCGTGCGAGGCGCGGCAAACCATTTCCAGCGCAACGTGTCGCCGCGGCAACCGAGCATCCGTTTGGATGTCATAACATCGATCGCGTTGCCGAACGGAACGCTTCCTGCCGTCCAAGGTGTGGTCGGGCGCGAACTAGGGCCATTCTTTGCCATCGACCTGTTCGTCGTGGCGCAGCCCCCGGCGTTGACGGCGTTGTACCACGAGTTTCAAAAGCTCGTCTTCGAGCGCGTCCGAGCCGACCCCGACACGTTTGCTCTGTACAACGCGATGCCGACTGCGACCGTGGCCCCCGTGCCCCCGACGTGGTCTCGACCGGGGTACAACTACTACGGCGGCAATCCATTCTGTCGCGCCGGCGGACCCAAATCGTACGTTCAGCAGTCGTGGGACGTCAACGATGGGTGCACTGCCCAGACCCGCCTGACGATGCCGTTGGCAAAGAATGCACTTCTCTTCGCGCTACATGCTGACGCCGACGTGCCACACGCAGCAATGTGCGGACTCCAAACATCGCCAGACTGCGCCATGGCAGTTGGCCAAGCCAACGCCGTGCTGACCAAACTAGGGACATTTCCAGACTCGATGCAACTGGCCAAGGCGGCGGCGGCAGCGGCCGTGACCGCGACGAACGTCTCGTTGATGCAGTACGTTACTACTTCGAACGGGACGTGGACGCGCTTATCGCAACCCATCCTGGCCGAACCGGCGTGGAATGTCTACGGGTGGACGCTCCTCTTTGACTGGGTCGAAGGCAAGCGGGAAGTTGTGTCGATTGAAGGGGATGTCTCGACGTGGGTGATCATGTCCAACGCGTACGCGGGCTCGCCATACTCGACAGGCGAGCGCGGAATAGAGCAAGCGACCGAGCTCGTGTTCTACGTGGTTGCAGCCACGTCGGCGCTCTTGTGTTGGGTGGCGTTCCTGTGTACGCTGTACGGCATCTTGATCCGGTTCCAAGTGAACGGTCGCAACTTATTCCGGTTCAATCGAGTGGCGGGCGCGGTTTGGGTTGGCCGCCCCATGACGTTCCTTCGAGGCATCACGGCCGTGATGGTCCTGAGCACGTCCCAACTCCGCCTCGTTCTCGTCGCCGGGGTGGCCATGTTTGAGCACGCGCCGCGGCACTGGCTCACAACGCTCGTCATCACGGGCGAAGCTACGTGGCTCACGTACTCTGCAAACGACGTGTTGCTGCTCACGGCGCGCGACACGACTGCGCTGTACGCGCCAGTGAGTTCGTCGCTGGTATGGCTCATCTATTTTGTTCTGGAGGCGTCGTCACCGGTCATGCCGTCGGCAACGATCAACCGCGAATGCCATGCCAAGGACGTCGACTATAACATGTTTTGCAACTCGGGCGAGCTCGAAGTGGGCAGTGGCATGCGAGTCGCGTTGCTCTTGGCCATTCAAGCGGTCGTGATCGGCGTTACCTTTCTCGGCGGGTGGGTGTACACACGGTCTTGCAAGAATGGGGCGTCGGCATCTGGTCAGCGCAGCTTGCTCGTGTCCGGGCCGGCCAACTGCTTTATTCAATCGTACACGGACATGGCGTCCGGCATGTGGACGGTAGACAAAGTGTCCGGACTGCTCTGCGGACTCATTCCATTCAGGTTTGGGGGCAACAACTATACGTTCGATCTCAAGTTGTGGGTCATCATGCAAGATCCCAAGGGCCACACAGGACGGCTCAAGGCGTTGCCGAACCCGGCACTAAGCTTTGAAAAAGCACAAACTCGGTCGAGCATCCAAGTCAAGGCGCACCATTCTAGCCGCGACGGATGCAACAAGAACGCGATGACGTGGCGCAACCAGGTAAAAGTCGTGGCCATGCGCGTCGCTGGGATCTGCTCGGTCGCGGGGTCCGTGGCCGGCAGTGTGTCGTACTTGGCAGTGTCCAAAGTAAACTTATCCAACGACGCGTGCTGGGCGAGCTTCAACCTCACGGGCGGCCACGGCTTCATCGGCAACTGGCTCAACGAGCAGATTCTCTTGGGACTCGATCACGAACACGTTGCGCTCGACGCAAGTCACATCAACCAGGTCGGATCGTTTGACAAACCGTCGGCGTATATTGCGAGCTCTGTGAATTATGGGTCGTACATGCAATACGACGAGCTCAGCACGGTCCAACACAACGTGCCTGGGCTGCGCCGGACGGACGCGTGCAAGGCGCCGTGGATCTTTACGCAGTACTGTTACGTCGACTTTGACAAGAGGTGGGAGATGGCCAACACCGCGGCACGCCAAGCGCGGTGCCAAGCGTCGATGGCGGCGAACGGCGCCGTGTATTTGGACTCGATTCTGCGCAACGTGGACTGGGACGTGTGGACCACATGCTGGGGCGACGCGTTCGAGACTGCGTTTGCGGTCGAGCTGCGCACGTCTCCGGCGGGCGCCGCGTACTTGCAGTCGATTTCGACGACACGGTTGTCCGTGGAAGACGAAATCGCGTACTGGAACGCCAAGGGCATCACGAGCTACACGGTGCAGTGGCAAAACTACAAGCGCATCGGGCTCGTCAACAAGTACACACTGCAAAACGCGTACGGCGGACAGTATCCACTGACCCTGCGAGCGCAGAACGGCACGTTGCGCATGGCCAAGCAATCCATGTTCAAGATGTACTGGTCCTTCGCCAACGACTTGGCGGCCATCACGCGTCCGCACAGCGGCATGACCGGCAAGAGCTTGATCCGGTCGTCCCCCGACTTTGCGTTTGCCACGACCACGATGGAGCAAGTGCTCGTGGCGAACGAGTTGCTCGAGCCAACGTTGTCCGTCGGTCTCACTCTCATCCAGCAAATGATCGGGCCGTTTGGCAGCGTCGACCTGCTTTATGTTCCGGTGCCGGCGTCGGCAAAGGTGGCAGTTCGGACGATTCTCGACACGTTGCGGTCAGCGATTGCCGTGCCGCCAAACGCAGACGCAGCGGCCAGAGCAGCTCTCAACGCGACGCAGGCGGCATACATGAAGATCACTCCCCCCGACTTGCTCACCCCGATCGTCCCGACGTGGCAACGCCCAGATATGGTGTCGTATGGGGGCAACCCACTGTGCGGGGACATGACGACGTCGCAAGTGCTGACGTTGTGCATGGTTACAGTCTTCACGTACGAACTGGAATGCACAGATTCGAAGAGGTCGTTCTTGTCGCAGCCCACGCGGGAGAGCATGATTGCGGCCGTGATCTTGGCCGGTCTCACGACGGCTTCGTCGTACAGCGCGATGGCCATTTGCCAGTGCGACCCGAGCCATGTCAAGGCATGTGTCCCTTGCACCGATATGTCCGTTGCGTTTGTGCGGCAGTACATGCCGCAAGTCCCGTCATGGGCGCCGCTGTTGGCCACTGTCCGGGCCGATATTGTGGCGCTGGACATTCAAGTGGCCCAATTCGGCGGCCTCAGTAACGCGTCCACGATGCAGTTTATGCATATCAACGTGCTAGACCCCACGATCCCGACCTTTGAAATGTACGCATGGGCGTTTTTGTACGACTGGTTCGTCGGCTACCGCACCGTCCTCAAGATGCAAGGCGATGTCGGCAGCATCACGCTCCTGTCGGACTTTGAGCCTCCGCTGTTTCAGCAAGTTCAGCCGTGGGAGTTGCCAGCCAACTTTGCGGCGTACGCCCGCGGAGGTGTGTTGTACGTGACGTTCATCATGATCGCGATTGCTATCTTTGTCCTGGTGTACATTGTGCTCAGCCGCGGCCAAATTGAGGGCCTCAACATGATGGAACTGGGCCGTGTCGGCGGAATTGTCTGGGTCGGCCGACCGCTGCTGCTGCTCCGTAGTTCGACCGCCATTGCGCTGTTGTCGACGGGGACGCTCGAGCTGCAGTTTGACGGCACGCTGTCGAGTTTCCAGAGTGTCGAGCTGCCATGGTACAAAACGTTGCTTGGGGCTTTGGAACTCACGTGGCTCGTGTCCGTGGTGACGGATGTGTCGATGGTGTTCACCCAAGAGTACACGACGTACTACGCGACACTGAATAGCGTTGTGGTGTGGATTATCGCAGCGGCTGTGACGGCGGCAAGCCCCGTGACGCACACCACGACGTTGGACCGAGTGTGCGAAGTTGTGGAGGTGGACTATCAGATTGTGTGCAACTCGGGGCTCGTCAAGATTGGGCAGTGGCAGCGCGCGGTCCTGTTGGTCGGGATCGTCGTCGCGAGCACGTTGACTACGTACGGGTTTGTCCGGGTCATCTTTCGTACGAAGCCGACGTGCAACACCCACTCGCTCTTTTTGTCGTCCGGCGCCAAGTACTTGTTCAACCACGTCTCGCGCGTCCACAACAACGTGTACTACTTGGACCGGGCATCGGCAGTAGTGTGTGGCATCGTCACGATGCGCCTTGGACGGACAAACTACGCGATGGACTTGAAGAATTGGCGCATCTTTGCCATTGATGTCCCGTCCTCGTCCGACATTCCGCGCAACACGGCGCTGGGGGCTGCCGCGCCCCACGCATTTCCCCTCACCGACTAGTGCCAAGACGACGAGGTGTTCCGAACTCGACAAGTCGTAGACATAATTGAAAAATGAACTGCTCTGTCGTGGCGATGCCATTCCAACCGTGGGCGATCCATGGTGGAATAGATTCGGCAACTGGCCGTTCTCGTGGCCACACACTGATTCGATCCGCTTTCGTACGAAGCCGGCCGGCGACGCCGTCGTCTGGCACCATGCACGTGGTTCACCACAACTCCCGGGTCTACACAACATGTACTACTTGCACCGGGCGTCGGCAGCTGTGTGTTATCGCCCGACGAGGCAGCCAGCACACAGCGTGATGCGGACAACCACAGGTATCTCTCGTCGAGCTATTTTTGTGGGCCGCGAATGCAGGCACGTTTAAAAGGTCGTTCAGCTGCTCAAAGGACATGGGCCTCGTCGTGGCGGGGGATGGTGGTTTGGTCGAAACCCTTCGACGCCCCTTGAGCTCCTAACCGTACTCCACGAACCCATCCTTCAATTTCTCAGCAAGGAATCAGTGTGCTGTGGCCACAGGCAATTCGTTAACCAACCCATCTCGTACGGCCATCGCTTCCACTGCTTATGCCATGAGCCACACAAGTGGAAACCACTGGTTCCAGCTCGGACAACTTGCACAGGAGTATACCAAGCCGTATTACTTGTGACAACTCGCCATCGTTTCCACTTGGTCCATCGTCTGCACACTGAGGGTGTTGGGCAAGTGAGACCAGCACGAGGGACATGACGTGTCGCCGCTCGAGCAGAAGGATGTGCGGGGGGTTCGTAGCTCGATTCTCTCGCAGTATGTGGTGGGAGGGTCTGCATTTGACTTCCTGATGCCACAGCGACGAGAGGTCGTCCGGCCTCTACAACTCGGTAATTAATATATATTTCTCGATTTCGTGAAAATGGACGGATATCTCATATATTTTTGAACACCTTATGAATCGATTGCCTGTATGATTTGATATTGAAGCTTCGTTCAGACATCTGACAAACCACCTGGTTACATTTCCAGATTGCCATGGCCGCCGGTGCCGCCGCCATGCTGTCGCTGGTCCTCAGCGGCATTCCGAGCGTCGCCGCGTTTTGGGGAAATACAGCTCCCCTCTTCGAGGATTCCCAAACCATCCGTTCCTTCACATCGGATGACTTTGCCTCGGGCGTGCTCGCGAGTGACGTCGCGTGGGTCGTCGACTTCTACGCGCCGTGGTGTCCGCACTGTCGTCACTTTGCGCCGCATTACGAGGCCGTGGCCGATCACTACGGCGAGTCCACGACTGTCAAGTACGGCGCCGTTGACTGCACTGTTGAAGACAAATTATGCACCGACTACCAGATCATGGGATACCCTTCCCTCCTGCTGTTCAACGTGCCTGCCAAGGGCAGCAAACCCATGCCCATGCCATTCAGGGTCAGGGGCAAGACATTTGAAGGAGTCGTGACGTGGGTGGAAGAGGTCTTGACATCGCAGAACATGTCGACGGGCGTCGACTTGCCAGACTTTCGAATGTACAAGGAGATCGGGTACGGCGGCACCGCGCCGCCAAAGAAATTTCCGAATCTGCGCAGCGCCGTGGTACGGATCACGCAGCATATCGTCCACACGTCCATCACGAGTGTTGTCTGGATAGACAAAATCCCCTCGTGAGCGCATCAATTTACGTGCCGGCCATCTTCGAGACGCCGGTCATGCGCTCGCCTCGTCCTTGGAAACCGGCATGTTTCTAGGCTCGTCGGTGCTGGCATCGACCAAATACGATACCGTCGAGAAATGGCTTCGGCTGCTCGTTGCCCGTTTTCCTCTCGAAGCGAACCGGCAAGCTCTGGCGACCCTGCTCTACCGCGTGCAGAGTCAGCGGACATGGACGCTGGCCGAGTGGAAGGTGCTCATTGCGACGTGGAAGCTCGATGTCTTTGGTGACACTTACCCTCGGGACCTCTTTTCCAGAAAGGAGATGGAGCTGTGTACGACCTACACGTGTGGTTTGTGGACGCTGTTCCATGGCCTGACCGTGCCGCAGTCGACCGCGACATCGCCGCTGTCCGCGGCGGAAGCTGCCGCCGTCGCCTTTGGCATCCGAGACTTTGTCGTCAACTTTTTCGGCTGTGAAACGTGTGTTCAGCACTTTACTGCAGCCAACCCTGACGCCAAGCTGCAGGACATTGGGCTCCACGGCGCCCCCGACGACGAGCTCATCCTGTGGCTTCACGCGATGCACAACTCTGTCAACGCCCGCACCAACCATTCCAACTTCCCCATGGCAGCGGTACAAATGGACCCTTGATGTGTGGTCGGTCAATATCTCGTGGGGGCAATTGTAGAATTGCCCAGCATGCTACTCCCCCGCCAAACCGACGGCAGATCTCGCCGTCGTGCAGTACCTCAAGAACGAGTACAGCGTGCTTGAAACAGATAAATTCGTCGACGACAGCAGCGCGCTAGAGGACCGCGTGGCGGACGATGCGAACGTGTCTGCCTCGATGCTGTTCGTTGGGAGTGTCGACCATGTCGAAGTTAGCAGCGTCGTGCTCATGACGGCCTTTGTGTTTGCCGTGTATGTGCGGTACGGCCGGCGTGAGATCAAGCCTCAACTCTACAGCGACGACGACGGCAGCAAAAGTGCGTGAAGGTCGGTGTATCGGGGACCTCGACCAGCTCTCCCACGGCCGCGATGCAGTGCTGCTAGGGTCGTGGAAAACGATAGTTGAAATTGGAAGATCACGTGAATTCTTGGAGTTCGAAGCACCGGTAGCTGGACGAAGAGGAACATCCCGATCGATCGGGTTTTGAAATGTGTTGACGTTCAAGGGAGAGGACGGTGCATGCGGTCCTAGTAGCACGGTTCGTGTTTGGGATTCAGTTGAGCCGCTCGGACAATGGAGGAATGTGGCCCCGACGGCTGCATGGGGTGTGCCACACGTGACACTTCAACTGGCGCGGGAGTGGCGGTGGGCCATGGGGCTCTGCACGGGCCACAAAAACGATCCGGACGTCGACAGCATCGAGACGTTGCCTCCAGCGCTCGTACGAGCGCTGTCAAATTTTTGAGAAAGCGAGATCGGCTGTCGACACACGGCGCACTTGTGCGGTGCTGCTTGATCCGTCTAACCAAGCATGGAAGTGAGTCAGGTATGTTCTCGGCCATGGCGGAGTGACTCCTAAACAAGGGCCGTTTGTACCTGCAAGCACTGGCGCAAACAGTGGCGATGGAAGCTGTGGCCACAGGGCAGCTTTGTCGCCATCGTAAGGCGATGCAGGCAAATCACGCACTGCACGTCGGCTTCGTGGGAATGGGATACCGTTTCAAATCTGCACCAGTATGTGTGAGCAACATCGTCAGCAACGCACAAGACGTACGTGGAATCGCACGCCAGTAGGATGAGCTGCAGCCGCTTCCACTGCCTGTACTGCCGCTGCACCGTCGCAATAGCTTGACGGCCGTGCAGCATCAGTACAAAGTCCAAAAACGATACACGAAACATCGACTCGCCATCCAGCGTCCGCAACCACCCGTATTGACAGGCAGTGCCGATCAACGCCAGAACGTCCAAAGCCATGAGCAATAGCGTCGCCACCGAAGCTTTGCGCTCGGTCATCGAGATGGCAGCAACTGTGCAGCCGTCTTGCCACGAGTTGGACGCGTTGGCCAAGTACAATTGGAGGCTGAGCTGGAGCCACAGAAGCAAAAGGATCGCGCATTCCGACAGAGAGATGACGCATAGGACGCTCGGGAATGCAAACATGTAGAGCGAGAGACGTGCCGTGGCCAATAGACTCAGTAGCAGCACCACCAAGGTCGTGTAGAATCCTTGCAACGGCGTCGATCCAAGCTAAAATGAAGGTTAAGACTGCGAACACGACAACGACATGCACGCATGTACCGTGTCAAAGCGACGGCGGAGTGCGGTGAAAAGGCTGTGGACCACGGTGAGCAGCGCCATCCACAGCACGAGATGCAGGAGGGGGCGGTTGTCGAGAACAGTCCAGTCGATAGCGTTGAAGAGCAAGATGCACCGCAAGAGGATAAAGGAAAAAGCCGATTCACGTAGATGCTTCCACTCGGCGGTGGCGAGAGGTCCCAACGTGCAGTGGACAATGACCTGGAAGAAGCGCACGAGGATAAGTCCAAACACATTCAGCAGGACCAAGAGACTCCACTTCGACGCAAGGAGGTGCTGCAAGACGACGTCCGACGAAAAGGACAGCAACGAAGCTTTCTCGTAGGCGGAGGCGACTGCCACGATGCCGGCGGCGCAGCTGAAGAACGCGTACTTGGCGGTCGCGGTAGGGTCGGCGGCGAACGGTGCCATTTCCTTCCCGAAACTTGGCAGCTCGCGACGAGCCAATCAGAGGCCAGTTTGAACATTCGGATGTCTCGTCATCCGAGCAAGATTTTCCGGATACGGATAAATCAAGAAAACTGATTTCCCTCCAGCTTTGCAACGGCATCAATTACTAGTATTCCGTTATAACGGTGTGGAAGTCAGATTAAACTTCTCAGTCGCCCAATTCGCCAGTGCCGTGTATGATGCGTCAGGGCGCAAGATATGCTCTGCATAGAGCTCATGCTTGTCCATCAAGGTCATTCGCAACTTCATTTTGAAAGTGTTGAGCATGGATATTTGAAAGTTTGAATTCCCTCTGTCTTCTTATAATATTATTTTGTAGAAATGATCGAAATTGCCCCGTTGCAAAGTCGGAGGGAAATCAGTAATTATTTTCCAGCAAGTCAACATGCTTCACACAGCAGCATGAGCATGCATGCAAAAAGTATCGGAAAGGTTGCACTCGGTTCGATTCCATCATTTCTGCTCGAGCCACACCGAAGACGACAACTGCCTAGCGGTGGAGCCCAGCGATTTGTTAGATATTCCGTGAATGTTACTTTTCATTGGTCAAAATGTGGCTGAAATAATGTCAAGGTGACCAATCAGATTGGTTTTCGATCGAAATCAGTACTTCTCACTGCTGCGACAACTTTGTAACTCTCACACGTCAGCGCTGTCGAGGTATCATCATTCACACACCAATAAATCGATTTCTAGTTGGCGACACGACCCGGGCACGTTCGAAACTGGAACAACCCAAAGCACGAGCACGGTCGTGATTTCACACACGTAGTCGTTGTTGAAAAACGAGGGATTGAAAAAAATACGTCACTTGAGACAGAAATCCTCCAATACTCGATACTGAAGTTGGACATCCTGTTGAACATGATACAGTCGTCCTTCGCAATAGCAAGAAAGGCGTCGTTGTGTTGCAAGCATGAGCAAGGTACGAGGTCGCCGACGGCGCGATGACGATGGTCACGTTGTTGTGGAGTGCAGGAAGTCAGCCTGTATATAGCAGCGCGACTTGGACAGATTCAAGATGTCAAAATGTACTTGGCGCAAGGTGCAAACGTCAACTGGACAAACCTTGAAAACGTACGGCTTTCACAGCGCTGGTGGGACATGACACGCCTGGGAGCATAGAATGGATGGACGCCGCTACATGCTGCATCGGAGCGTGGATACGTGGAAATTGTGAAGATTCTTGTCGACAACGGCGCCAACGTGAATGCGACAGATACCTTTGTACGGTTTGCACACAAGTGTCTTGTGCGTACTGGACGATCTCGAGATAGTTTGGAAACACGTCACTCCACGAAGCGTCGCAGCATGGACGCGTCGACGTCGTCAAGATCCTTCTGGACAACGGCGCAAATGCAAACGCGCCAAACCTTTATGTAAATGCAACGTGCCAACGATTCCCATCCCACGGACAGAGATATAGGATGGAAGCACGCCACTCCACAGTGCCGCCTCGTCGTGCTTTGAGCACGCTGCGGACGCGGTCGAGTGGCTGTTGGACGCCGGGGCGTCCTTGTCCACACGGAACAAGGTGCACCCGATGGATCTCGCCCCTGGCTCTGACTACGTCGCTGTCGCAGAGTGGCATGTCTGCTCGAGACGTGGCCGCCGAAAAGAACAGACGTGCGGCTTTGGCTGCGTTGGACAGATGGACAAAGGTGATCAACAACTTGCCATCATCGGCCGACAACCACGTCTTGGAGTCATGTAGGGAGCAGCGCTTTTCCATGCCGCGAAAAGTGGACTCGTCCGTGAAGTCCTGACTTGTTTGGCTCAAGGTGCCAACGTCAACTGGCGCAACAAAGCCGAGGTATGCCAGACGTCACAGCTCGAGGACAAACCATTCATGGACCTACTGCAGCAAGGATGGACTGCGTTGCAAATCGCGTGGACGTGCGGGCACGTGGACGTCGTTCAGGCACTCCTCGACGCCAAAGCTGACGTCAACACGACGGATGAAGTAAGCATGTGCCCATGTGGATGGCTCAGTTGAGGTCCGTCGGTCGTAGGATGGCCATACTCCCGTCCACATCGCGTCCAGTAATGGAAAACACGCCGTCGTCAAGCCCCTCGTGCTGTGCGGCGCCAAAAACGACCCACCCAGCACGGTGTGCTTGCTGATGAACCCAGTGAATGAAGGTGAAACTCACGCAGTCCATAGCTTCGAGACCTTCCATGTCACGAGGTCCCTGGTCACGTCGAACCGGCATTGCATGCCAAGGCGAACGCATCGGCGAGAATGGAGGTGTGGCGATTGTTCCTGTCTTGAAATGCAATGACCTCTCGTGGATAGGACGGCATATATGCTCAAGTTGTGGCTGAGGCTGTGATGGCGCTTGATCAGGATGCACAGGTACAGCATGATCACGCCGACAGATTCAATGCCGGCATGGACTGCCAGGCACTGGTCGCCCGTTCCATCGACTGTTTCTGCGCGGGTCAGCACGACTTGGCCGTGCAAATCGCCAACGAAGCGCTTGCGACGCTGGGAATTGCTAAGTCCGCGTGGGTATGGATCGGAGAGAATTTGCGCGGTCGCGGTCAGTACGAACAAGCTCTTGCGGCGTACGTGATGGGCCAACAAGTCGATCCGAGTGATGTGGATTGCATTGTCGGCATGGAAGACGTCCGCGATACGATCCAAGTCGCCAAAGTGTTTAACCACAACATGCTTCAACTTCTTGCCAAAGATCGCCGCATGCGCGAGTATTTGAAGGACAAGGCATTTGTGTCTCGATTGAATTCAATTCAAGCAGATCCGACCCAATACGACCCGCAGGACAAACGCCTCGCCCATGTGTTTGAATACCTTCACGACCGTGGCGGGATACCGCCTCCACACGTGCCACCCTCCGTCGCACCTCTGACGGATAGCTTCGAGTCAAACGGCACTCCAATCGGCGCCATACCCATCAAAGAGTCGTTGACAGAGCTCACGGAATACCTCCTATGTCCAGGTACATCCTTCTTTCCACCGACAACGAAATATCGTCACACGTGGAGGGCCATCCAGGCACTCCAACCGTTTGGCGGTTGTCCAACACGTACCTCCTCATTACGGACCTCGTGAATGAGAGCAGCCATTGCGTCTTCAAGGCGGAGGACCCGACCCGGCGCCACAAGCAGTTTGTGGTCAAGCTCACGGACCAAGAGGCAGAAGTCACGTTTGTGAAGCGCATGAACGATCGAGACGACTCGAAGCATGTCGCCAACGTTGTCGAGTGCGTCCAAGTGTGCACCATTCCTTTGGCAGGGCCAGCCAAAACGTGCTTTGCCCTCGTGATGGAACAAGGAGAGCCGCTGGACACGTGCCATCTTCGCAACCTACAGAGGCGCCCGCTGCTTGCGCTCGAGTGTGTCCAAGATGTAGCCAAGGCGCTCCAGTTCCTCCACCGCGACCACGCCATCATCCATGGCGACGTCAAGCTCGAGAATGTTCTCTATTTTGACCGAGCCGTCGGGTACAAGCTGATTGACTTTGACCAGACCGTCACGATTGGGTCGGCCATGCGACTACACTGCACGCACGAATACTGTCCTCCCGAGATGGCCCGCCTCATCTTGCAGCGCCACAACCACGTCCTGATGGCGGCGTCGCCAACGTTTGACGTGTGGTGTTTGGGTGTGCTGATGCTCAAGCTGTTTGTGGACGGTGGGCATTTGGAAGAGTTTGACGGTGTGGCGGCGGGCGACGGGATTTTGGAGATCGTGGCCGCCCCAGGGTTTTGTTTTCGCAAGAGTCTGGCCAAGGCGTCGCATTTGAACTCGAGGCAAATGACATTTCTCATGACGTGCTTGGAGCCTGACGTGTCGAAGCGGGCGAACAACGTGAACGACATTGTGGACATCGCCACGTTTGAGTCTCCAACGTCGACGATGCCACCGACTCGATCGGCAAGCAAAGAAAGCGTGTGTGAGATGCCAAGTGTGTGGACGATTACGATCGTCAACGGCAGGCGCCGCTTGCCTCGTGGGGATGTACTCCGTGGGCTTGAGTGTCGCATTGGGGTCGTGAACGTTGCAGGAGCGACGTCGTGCAAGTTTGACCAAGACAAAAGCATGACTGCATCGTGTGGATCGGACGTAGTCGCGCTCGTGCTTCCGTTCTTCCGCGTCCTCATGGTCTTGTTGGACGTATTGGATGCGCTGGAAGATCACGGAGCGGACGTGGCGAGCTGGAAAGCACTTGCATGGCCACCGATCGACTCGATCCACGCGGCTGTCGACGCTCTCGAGTCGATTCACACGACCACAACTGTGCTTCCCATTGAGCTAGAACTGCGTGCGCTGGACGACCGATTGACCCAAATGACTTGTTTGGCCATGGAAGAAGTTGAAGCACTCCTCGCAAGTGTGACGCGAGCACTCAAGCAGTTTGCCACGAGCAGCGACACGTTGGAACGAGTGGTCGCAGTTCTCACGTGTCCTGGTGTGGCGCCGACATGTGTGGGAGGTTTGGTGGGTCACGTCCATCCAGCCACAGGCGTCGTTGCGTGGAAGTGCTGCGTTCATGGCGGCGGCTTCGTCCGTGGCGGCGACATGGCGTCGGGAGCTGTGGCCAACCCCGGTGACCTTCCCTTGTTGTGGTCGCTGGAACCAATGGCCCAACTGGGAAGTCGCATCAAGGATCCCCCCAGCTTACGCCGCGACCGGTTTCGCCTCGTGTTTCAATGCGAGTGGCGGCGCGAGTCCGCGTGCCACACGCAGCAGCACGATGCACGAAACGATGCCATGTTGCAACTCTTGGGAGACTCGGACGCGATCCGTTGCTTGTTGCCGATGTTGAAAGTCAGCTCGTTGGTGCTGCGGGCGTTGAGTGTAGCGGCTGTGTTTGGCTTGACATTGCACGGCCTTCGATTCGACTATACCAAACTCCCCCTCGGCCTGCAGACCATCGCGGCCATGGAAGCACTTCACGGTTCGACACGCACGCTGCACGAATGGGAAGCTACGTTTGAGTCGATCCTGGACCGGCTGGATGCCGAAGACACGGACGATGCCGAGATGGCAAGCCAAATGAACAAGTTGCAGATGGCGTTGACAGCGTATCGAGTTGCCGTCGACCCGATCATGAAGGACGCGTTGGCCGGCCTTGGGTTCGACTGGAAGCACGAGCGTCTCGGTGGGCTGACCCGAGTGACCCTTCCCACGGGACACAGTCGATGGGTGTGCGATCTGCACCGGACAATGACGTGATCTTTCCCCGTGCGTTGTGCACTCTACTGCGTGTGTCCTAGCGATGGGCTGAATGCACATTTCGTTTCAATAGTCGTCGTATGCAAACCTGTCCACGCAATCCCGTAGCGCGTGCCACAACGTGGTGCGCCAATCTTGCAGCTCCAACTTGCGATGAAGTAAGCGAGGGGATGACCTCAACACTGGCAGATCTTGTGGTAGTCGACTGGAGCGGTATCGCCACCAGCAAAGACCAGTGGCAAGGAGCGCCGGCATATCCTCTGACCATTCCATTGCTGAGACAAAAGGATTTTTCGGTGGGAGCGGTGCAAACTTGGGTCGACACCACTTGGAATGGCCTGTAGGCAGCCATGCACAACATTCGGGGTGAACATTGTCTCCATGCTCCGTCGACAGTCCAAGTCGTTCGGGGCTTGTCGTTTTCTGAGGCGAACGCATGATGGATGGCCTTCCCGGTCGTACGCGTGCACACAAATGTACACGCGACCGCCGCATGTGCGCAAATGGTGCCCTCGCTCGCTCCACGCGAGGCGAGAACGAGTCGTTTGTTTCGGGGTTTGGGTGCCTCTAGAACGTCCTTGTCTACGTCGGGCCATTTTGAGTCCCGCCACCAAAACCCATCCGAGGCGATTCCAATTCGCGGTGACCAGAACTGCACGTCGGTGGAACCCTTCCTCGAGAGCATGGCCTGCAGGATATGAAGCGGACGCATCTACTACGTACGCCTACGGCGCGCGTTGTGTAGAGGAAGCATCCACCAGGAATGGTTTCATTGCGTCCAAGTTGCCGATGTGGGCAACCAAAGATGGACCATACCTTCGCTCCACGTTGGACCGCCCCCCGACGGCGCTGAGGACCCAGCAGCCTTTGTTGAAATCGTGTGGTACTCGGCGCTTCACAACATGGCATGCTGGACCAAAGCACAAACAACAGTCCAAGAAAGAGATTTTACACATGGAAGACCTGGATGCTTCGCCGAATGTCCGCGCATTTCATGACGTCAGTGCACCACAAGCACACGGCATTCTGGGGACGTTCGACACACACGAAATACGCTCGCCAGATACACAGCTGCCGTTTGGTCGGGAGCTCCATCGTGCACTTGTGAACGAGGGTCCTCGCCGGGACGTCCCCCCTGTCCGAGTCGCGTCATTCTTGTTCCTTGCGTCCTTAGCCATTTCTACGACATCCAACGACGTGGACGGCAGTGGCCATGTGTGCACAAGGTCGTATGCCAGAACTGTCGTCGGAGAGTCGACAGTCGCGGAGGGCTCGACGATCGCGCGCCGCGTCAAGAACGCCGCCGAGCAGTGAAAGTCGTGTTTGCCTGTGAGGGAAGCGTCCAAGGCGACGATAAGTACAACGGGACGGTTGGCAGGTACGTGGCTATGCGAGCATGCCATCATGAGTGGGGTGTGCGGAGTAGTCTTTGTATTCGACCAGCGTCGGTCGCATCGTGGGTATTACATCCTCGAGGGTCTGAAGCAGCAGCGTCGGAATGCCGTTCGTGCAGCCGTCCACATTGTCTGCGCTGCCGCAACCGGCCTGTGTGCGACGCCATCATTGTCCTCTGCTTTCCAAATTGTTGGTGCTCGATATCCCGTCGACACGCTCTCGTTCCAACTGTCTACCGTCCACACACACGTCGTCTTGCTCGACGGGCACTAGGGGTTTGCCCTCCATCGCACGAGGAACGACGACTGCTCCATTTTCGGCGGAGAGTGCCGGAGGAATAGCATGACACACTACGAGTCGTCGGCGTTCAAATCGATCATGCTTGCAGCATCTGCGTGTGGCAGCACGCCGTGCTGCCGTCTACCTGCCCCATTTTCCGAGGCATCGATAAAAAATCTCAAGTAAAACCTCGCCGACGCATCACCTGCAGGAAAACATTCCCACGCGCGACCGACGTATCGCTGCCGTGAGTGCATTCGTGGTCCGATGCTCGAGCACGGCATCGAGAAATACCACAACCCCCCGCTCCATCCGATGCAGACAAGCGGCTACAACATTCCACCCACTCGGCAAACGAGTATTCGAGTGCTGCTCCCATTTCTCGCCGTCTCGACTGTCCAAGACCCACACAAGTAGCATCATCGAACGATATCTTGGTTACGTGGTGGCGTCGGCTCAACGTACAATGGCGGGCATCGGCACGAGCTCGTCGAACGCGACGTCGTCAAACTCCCAACGAAAGTCATCCGCCCACGCCTGCGTCGCCGCCGCGCTGCATGGATTGGTGTGGTCTAGCAGTGGCAGTGCCATCCATTCTTCGTTGGCTTCGTCGGACAAGCCAAAGAGATTGTACACACAGCTCCATTGGAGCAAGCACGTTCCCGACACACTGTTTGGGCTGAATGGAGGCAGCATCCCGCCGTCGGTCGGCGGCGCGGCAGTGTTTGGCACGGCGGGTTTCCGTGCGACGGCGCCGTGTTGCGTCGCATGCTGGCGCACGTAGCTTGCATCGGAGGATGCTGCTCCTCCATGTCGACAGCAGCGTCCGCCGACTCGAGCATGGGTGTCGCATCCATCGACATTGCACTTTCGTCCGCCGCCATGGCGCACGCATTTTTGCCGGGCATGCGCAACTTTGGTGCAGTGCGGCTCGTTGCACCGTTTCTTGGGGCTCACAGCGCCGTGGCGAGAGCAATAGTTGCCGATGCGGACGTTTCCAAGGCACCCGTGTGCTTGGCATTGTCGCTTTCCACCATGTCGGACGCACAGGCGGCGAGCGTAGACTTGGTTGTGGCAATCGGGCGCGCGACACTTGCCTCGGTTCTTGTGGAATTCGCATTTCCCGGAAGCGTCGTCCACCACGGGGTGCCGGCAGTCGTTGAAAAAGCAAGCGGCGGGCACACCACGGAACGCCATCCGTTGTTCGCCGGGCAAAATCGTAAAATGCACAGGCCGTCGTGGATTCGTGTGCGTGGGGCCGGAAAAGTCATCGACGAAGGTGATGTGCCCGGCATGCGCTGCTGCGACAGCCTCGCCGCGCACGACAACAGGCGGCCATATGGACGCCTCCAAGTAAACGCAAACGCGGATGCTTTCAGGACCGCGACCGCCCGCCACGAAGTCAGCTAGCACGGCTTGCCGTACCTATCGGGGGGGGTGCATGACCCTTTGCTGTGGACGGGCGAGCTTGCGCCAAAACGGCGCTGGCGGCTGCAAAGGCCAGGAACAGCCCACGTTCCGAGAACGCAGTGGTCAGCGCTGTCGCGCTTCCGCCTCTGGCGACAAGCAGGCACGCGGCTTCCGTTCCCATCACGAAATTCGTATCTTCTTGCGTCGTGGTCATGACATGTACGTGGTGCGCCAGCGAGGCCGAGTACGGCGAGAGACCTTGCCTCTTGTCCCGCGAATCTCTGCAAGGCTAGCACGTCCCCAAATCCTACACCTTCGACTTGCCGCCGACACGCCGTCGAAGCTCGTCAAGTTGGAACGAGTTTTACTCGTGCGTCAAATGAAATTTAACCAAGTGGTCGAAATAGTATTATCGAAATCTGTGGAGGATTATTTGAACGAGGATTTCTTGAGTTTTGTATATTCTCCGTACAATTTTTCCAACGGATCGGGACATCTTGGACATGAAGAAAAACGCAGTCGACAGTGTATCCCGTGGGTTGAACGAAAAAGTCGCGTACGTTTAACAATAAAACGTCGACACGTCGCAGTCACACGATTGTGTGTACAAGTACATCAGGCGACTTTGTAGCCTCGGCTTTGGGCAACAGTTGGCATCTGGATGGCCCAACAACGCGCGATGCGACGTGCAGTGGTATAGCAACCCTCCTCCGCCATCGCGCTGGAAGGCTCAACCTTGTCCATGTACTGTGGCACGCCCGACACTACTTTGGCTACGCAATGGCCTCACACAGCTTCGGCTCCACAATGGCAACGTCTCAAACCTCTGCAGCTCGATTCCGGGGAATGAACAACGACCGACTTTTGTGAGAGCACACCAGATGCCGCGGGTCCATCGGCCGACGCCTAGAGCTGGCGGGGAGCTGAGCGGGGGTACATAGCCTGCACCGCCACACTGAGTTGTATAGGGAACGGTATCCGGATACCTCTCTTCGGCAACTGACTAGACTTGGCATTTGTATGTCATGTGATAGGCAGTGCATCCAGTCCACCAATCAAAACGCTGAATCTTGTAGATTATCCGGAATTTTGCACAATTTTCTACCAGCCTGCGACGTGCTGACCAACGCGCAGCGCAACTCTGGCATGGCCCACCCTCCGACGCCGCCGTCGAAGGCCATCGGTGGCAGCAGAGATGGCGCGCTTGGATCGACCAACTCTGGCAGTTTGTCGACGTCAGATCCGGAGGTGTTGCATGGGGACGACGTGTCACCCTTGGAAGTATACAACTTCGACGTCACCAAGTACAAGGATGGATCGTTCAAGCTCGTGACGGCTGTGGACCCGCTCGTGTATCTGAGCGGGCGCTTTCTTCGACACGACGAGCACGCAGCTCGCAAGACAAAGGTGAACTCGGTGCAGTTTGACTGGCCTCACTGCGGTTTCTCCATTCGTGTCAAGCACACACGAAGCGTGGGCATTCGGCTGAAGGGCGAAGGCAACTACTTCAACGTGTTTGTCGACGGCGTATTCAAATGCATCTTGCGCGCGTCGTTGAAAGCGAGTTGCTGCGACGTCGCCACGTTCGGCGACGACGCGTTCGACTCGGACGACGAGCACACGGTGACCGTGAGCAAGCGCACCGAGCCCCAGATGCGCGGCGCCGTCTCTACGTTCAAGGTGTGCACGTTCTACGGGTTCGTTGTCGAGAAGGCGGCGGTCGTGCTGCCGTTTGATCCGGGGTTTCGTCATCGCATCGAGTTTATCGGGGACTCGGACACGTGTGGCTTTGGCAACGAGGGAGTCACGTCGTCGTCGAAGGGCATCTTTGGAATGAAAGGGCGCATGGAGAACGTGTACAACGGATACGCGTGCATCACGGCGCGGATGTTTCATGCAGAATCGCACATCTTGGCCTGGAGCGGGTACGTAGGTGGTGGCTCCAACAGCCCATTGCGTCGCATGCGATGAAGAGCTGATGGTTGTGGTGGCGCTTGTAGCAAGGGCGTCAAAAGCAATCTGGGTGACTGGGGGCCAAACATGAGCTCGATGTGGAAGAAGACAATTGCGTCCCGAGAGTTTGCATGGGACCTCGACTCCTGGCAGCCTCATGCGGTCGTGATTAACTTGGGCACGCAGGATCTGTTCCCGCCGGCGTCATCGGAGGCCGAGATCGTCGAAGCGTACACGGCGCTGCTCGAAGACGTCCGTCATCGTAAGTGCTTTCATTCTGCATCAGTGGTGAAGGAAGGATGCTTCGCTCGGTGTTCTTCGTTCGTGTGGCTGTGGGCGACTGGGATGACTCGATGAATGAATCGATGGCTCAAATCAGTGTCTGTTGTTGCTAGATCGACCGGAAGCGCACATTTTCTGCGTTGTGTGCGACGAGAACTGCATGAGCGGCGAAGACGACGACGTGAACCGGAGCCGCATCTCGCTGCAGCTGCAGGAGATTACCAAAGTCGCCATGTCGCGCGTAAAAAAGATGGATCTCCGCATGCATTATGCATTCATCAAGGTGGGTGGTGGTGGCTCCAGCGCTGTCTCCATGCCGCCGTCCCCAACGTCATTTGTGTGGTAGATTCCTGGCGGCCTTGCGCCATCGGACTTTGCCAACATGAAGCACTACGCCGTGAGCGGCCACGTCAAGTTTGCACAAGCATTGGCAAAAGAGATTGCGTTTCGCACCGAGTGGGACGTCACGGACGACCCCGTCACGATTCCATATCCCCAACCCAAGCATCAAATTCTCGTCCCATCCGACAAACAGTGCTCAATATCGTAATTAACTTGCCTTCATCAGGTATTTCTTTACCCGATGCTGTCTTGACCAGCATCGCCCCATGCCGCCGCAACGATCGAGGCGCAAAGTGTTTCTGGCCCCGCATAATCGTTTCGACGGCCATGACACACTTCGCACGGACAGGGAGGTCGGAAATGGACGGCAGCGGCTGTCTGGGAATCGAGCGAGCTTTGTGCCGTTGCTCCATGCAACGGCCCCCCCATGAAAAGAATGCTCGTGTGCCCGGGGCAACTACGCTTTCCATGTGTGCCAGTGACAAAACACTATCACGGATACAATGCTGTCCTCAGCTCTTGTCAAGTTTGTGAGGTGGGGCTGCCGATGAATGGGATGGCGAGTGCCGAAGGAGCGATTGAG